GTGTATGAGTTCTTTGCCTGCATGTATGTCTGTGTGCCCACATCAAGCCCAGTGCCTGTGGAGTCAGAAGAGGGGGTCAGATCTCCTGGAACTGGAGTTACAGATGTTTGTGAGCATCGTGTGGGTTCTGGGAACTGAACCTGGGCCCTCTAAAAGAGCAGCTAGTGCTCTTAAACACTGGGACAGCTCCCCAGCCCCAGAAATGCATTTTTAATTTTAAGTATTAAATGCCTACAAAGTAAGATTCTCTGGCAGTGGTGTTGCATGTCTGTAATTCCATAATGCTGTGGGGCAGGAAAATAGGGCAGTCCCGGCTTCCTGGGCTAATAGTAAGATCCTGCCAAAAAAAAAAAAAACCAAACAAACCCCCAAAAAAATAGTTAGGTGGGTAGGTAGATAGATAGATAGATAGATAGATAGATAGATAGATAGATAGATTGATTGATTGATTAAAAAAGAAAAGAATTGTGTGGTATGAAAAGAAAGTATGTGTAAAATAAGTGACACGTAGCAGGGCTGGAGAAGTAGAATGTTGTCCCCTGTGGATCCTCCTGGGTCACTGTGCTATTTTTAAATGTGCCTGTTGGACATCTGTTCTGTACTGAGGAACCGGTTGCTGTGACCATCTTGTAGCATGCTCACATCCAAGGGACTTTCGTTCTGAGAAGGGAGCGCAGGAAAACACAACTTTTACTGCAGTCCACTGTTTTGTTGTTTCATTATCGGCTACTAAGCTGTCACTGCAAGTCCAGGAAGGTGCCACAAGCTAGCACTTGGGAGGCTGAGACTAGAGGATCCCTGAGTTCAAGGCCAGCCTGGGCTACTATATATTGGGATCTTGTCTCAAAAGTAATTCCTGTGGGCAGTGGTGGGCACACCTTTGATCCCAGCACTCGGGCAGCAGAGGCAGGCAGATCTCTGTGAGTCCAAGGCCAGCCTGGTCTACAGAACTAGTGCCAGAACAGGTTTCAAAGCTACATAGAGAAACCCTGGCTCAACACCCCCCCCAAAAAAAAAGTATTTCCAGGGATGTCCAGAAGCTGACATCTGGAATCCTCATGAGCAGGAGAGATGACACAAAGAAACCTGTCAGGGGGAGGGCCAGCAGGGTGTGTGAAAGGAGCTCCTGGAGTGATGGGACCACAAGCCAAAACCCTTCAGGGCTGTTGGCAGCCAGCAGACCTGGGATAGATTATCCCCGGAGCCTCCAGAGGAACTGGTCCGGTCAACACCGCCACCAGGCCTTCCAGCCAACAGAGTGCTCTTCTCTGCAGTCCCAGGCACCTGTGACAGCAGCTACAGGGGATGAGTACTGTGTGTGTGTGTGTGTGTGTGTGTGTGCGTGTGTGTGGTTACTGTCCTGCTGACAGAAAGATGGCTCAGCCAGGCAAGGGGAACAAACACGGGTGACTCCAGCACTGGGGAAGGTAGGCAGGAGAAGGCAGAGATTCAAGGTCAGCTTGGCCCACTCTGGCTCAAACATTATGGAAAACAGCTGGGCATGGTGCTGCCTGCCTGTGGCCCCCCCACCTAGCACCCCAGCACTGGGAGGGAAGCAGGAGGGTCAGAACTCAAGGTCAGCCTCTACTATGTGCCTGGCTGGAAGCCAGCCTGGCTACTTGATGCCCTGTCTCAGACACACACACACACTCAGAGGTGAATCCAGTCAGATAATGAGCTAGTCATGTCATGCTGGTTCCTATATCCTTGTGTTTAAGTCCCTCACCTCTCTGTCTTCCTTTCTCCTTCCCCACACTTTCTTCTTTCCTTTCTGACAAGGTTCCCACCACGTAGGCCAGGCTAGCCTTGAGCTTGTTCTCCTATTTCAGCTTTCCCAATGCTAGAATCACAGATGTGTGCTGCCATGACGGGCTTCTCCCATAAACATCTTTCATTTGGGTTTGTGTTCTGGGGGTAGGACCTGGGACATTGTACATATTAGGCAAGTTCTCTCCTGTTGAGCTATGAGCTATATTCCCTGGCCATTTTTATCTTTAATTTTGATACAGGGTCTCACACTGTAGCCCAGGCTGGCCTGGAACTCTTTTGTGTTTTTTGTGTTGGATGTTTTGCTTACATGTGTGCTTGTACACCACCCTCTTGCCTGGTGACAGCAGAGATCGTGGCATCATCTCTCCTGGAACTGCAGTTACAGATTGTTGTGAGGCACCATGTGGGTGCTGGGAGCCAAGCCCCTCACTACAAGGACAGCCAGTGCTCTTACCTCAGAGCTGTCCCTCCAGCCCTTGGCCTTGATCCTCCTCCCTTAGCCTTCTGAGTAGCTGCAGTGTCAGGCCAGAGCTCACTAGGTCCTGAGACTACTGGTCATCTTAGGTCATTTAGAAGCCGCAACAGTGTAAATGCTGTGCATACAGTTGTAACAAGGTATTGTTTAGGGACCTAGAACAGGAAAAACGGCACAGATGACAGAGCTCACGGTTTGCTCAGATGTGGCTTTCTTCTCCATAGAATGGGTGGGTGCAGCACTCTGTGGCAGCTCTCGGTAGGAGTCTAGGACCCCTATGACCACTGCATCCACCTCTGCCATGTGTGGCCAGCCCCTCATCCTGTCCTAGGGGAAAAGTCCTGGTGCCAGCTCCCAGCATGGCAGGAGGATGGTTTGCTGCCTCTCAGGCCTTTCCCTAGAGCAAATGGCACTTAAACATGGCAGAAAACCACTAAAAGTGTCTTCCTAGCACTCAGGACTTGGCGGCAGAAGGATCAGGAGTTCAAGGTCATTCTTGGTTATATAGTTGAGTTCAAGGTCATGCATAAGACCCTTTCTCAAATAAGAGTTCAGGTGTGATGGCACACTCCTTTAGTCCCAGCACTGGAGAGACAGAGGCAGGAGGATTTCTGAGTTCAAGGCCAGTCTGGACTACACAGTATGACCCGTCCCACAAACTAACAGAAAGATGGGAGGGGAATGCTGGGCTGGGGGAGTGATGGCCCATCTGGTCCGTTGATTGTAAAGGGGTCTGTCTTAGCCTAGCCTGCTTCCTAGTTAGGAAGCATACAGGCCAGCACACACCACTTGCCCAGGAATATAGTGACGGACGGAGGGACAGGTATACAGAGGTCACACATGACCTCTGTTTTGTCCCAGCAGCAATATGATGTGTCTCCATTCGGGGAAGCGTCAGCATGATAAAGAGCTGCACTGGGTAGCAATGGGAATGTGCACAGGGGCAGGAACATCTTCGAAGGTAAAGCACCAATCAGGTGTTGCACATCTGGCCCTTGCTAGGCCCTGGCTTTCCATGACCCCCAGCCTAAGTGGAACTCAGGTGGAAAGGGTTAGGGGAGCCATTTCTTGAACACTCAGGGCACAGGTAATGCTGGGAACAGTGAGGATGGGATTTTTAGGATGGGTTTCAAAGAATGCAGAAATATTTTCTAGCAGAGCAAAGCATAAACGTGTGGAGTTCCGTATGTGCAGGTAATTTACCTACCTGTCCATCAGTCAACTGTGAGTGACCAGGTTCATAGCACTGTGTGTGAGAACCAGGGCTTTTGCAGGCGAGAAGCAGTGGCTGGAGGGGCTAGAGTGCCCTTCCGGGGCACTGGTGGCAGTGCCGCTGGCAAGAAGGGAGGACAGGGACTTCCTGTACCTCACGCATTGCTGTGGGAGAAGCTGTGCGTGTGCTGCAGCATGGGTGCTGAGGCCAGAGGCCACCGGCAGGACTGTTCTCTCGGCTCATCAAGCAGTTCCAGACATGGAGTCTGCCTGCTGAGGCGGCTCACTGGCCCCTCCCTCCCTCTCCTTTCTCCTTTCTTCCTTTCAGCACCGGGATGGAACCCAGAGACAAGCGATCTCCCACTGAGCAATACTTACCGCCTCTCATCTGTGTACCTTCCGCCTTTGAGACAGAGTCCCGTTAGGTTGCCTAAGCTGGCCTGGGACTTCCCGTGTATCCCACCCAGATCCCATGTGCTGGGTTAGCAGGTGTGGCCTGGGGCCAGAGTTGTCTGGGTCTTTTGAGATCTGAATGACTGTGAGACATGCAGAGAGCTCCCTGCCAGGGTGACAGTCACAGTCCCCAGAACACAGAGTGAGGAGCTTCTGTCTCTCTTTGAGGCCGGCAGGCAGTCAGGGTTAGCAGTCAACAACCACTATGCCAGACACACCAAGCTCTATGAACTAGAGAAGAAAACAGCCTTTATCTTTGGCAGACAGATGGTATTGGCTTCTGATGGCTGTCATTATGTGATCCACTGTAGGCTTGGAAGCCCTCTCCAGGCACAGGGTGGGACTGGCTGCAGCCCTGAGGCAGTGGTGCAGGTGGTGGGCCTCCCTGTTAGCCAGGGGTCTGATCAAGGATGCTGCGGATGGACCCCAAGTCACCACAAGCTAAGTGTGCTCTCCCCTGGCCTGCCCCCCCATGCTGTGTGCTCTCCCCTGACCTGTCCCCCCATGCTAAGTGCTCTCCCCTGACCTGCCCCCCTTGTGTCCTTGGGAGTTGTGGCTGCATCCTCCCCCACTCACCCAACTTGGGCAGTGGAGTGCTGGCCAGAATAAAACAGTGGTAGAGTGCTTGCTGACACCCGTGAGGTCTGGGTTCCATCCCCAGTGCTGAGAGGAGTTCATTTGACCAGGTATGGTGCTATCATCAGGAGGTAGCGGCACAAGGGTCAGGGGTTTACTGTTGTGTTCAGCTACAGGGCTTGGTTTTGGCCAGCTTCCAGGGGTAGCACAAGACCCTGTCTGAAAGAGAAAAAGAAATGAGTAGAACAGGACTATGGATACAGCTCAGTGCTTTAGCGGTTGTGAGGACGCAGGAAGCCTTGGTTGGATCCCCACACAAACAAAATTGGCTTTGAGCTAGGCATGGTGTAGCTCATCTGTAACCCAGCATTTCAGAGGTTGAGTCAGGAAGATCAGGAGTTCAAGTCAGCCTAAACTACGAGAGACCCTGGCTCAAAAACAAATCCCGGCACCCAGGAGGCAGAGGCAGGCGGATCTGTGAGTTCTAGACCAGCCTGGTCTACAGAGTGAGTGCCAGGACAGCCAGGGCCACACAGAGAAGCCCCGTCTCAAAAAATAATAATAATAAGAAAAGCAGGATAGGAAACGTATCTATTCCTATAAAACAGACCAGTCTGGGTCGTACCGATCAATGTTTTCTCCCACTCCATAGTTGACACTTCGTCTAGCTTTCCAGTACACCCCACCCCTGGAGCAGGGTGACAGCAGAGAGGAGAGCACAGGGGTGGCAAATGGCCATGAGCAGGAGACACCTCGTGACCTCACCTTAGCTAAGAAGTCCAGGCCTGAGCACTGGGAGAAACTGAGAGCACGGCTGACCTGTTCCCATGGCTGTCCCATCTTGAACAACAGAGGCTGGAGAGAGGAGACAGGGGGAGCACAAATCAGAAAGACATGATGGGGAGCATGGTTGAGCAGTGTGTAGCTGTAACACTCAACACTGGGGAAGGACATGAAGGAATAGACCCCAGACAAAGCCTGGCGCCTGCAGCTGTAGTGACAGGGTAACACACCGCCATCTGCTGTCATGTGTGAGGCTTGACTCTAGTGTCGTCATCTGTGTCCTTCCTCACTGTGTTCTGACCCCCAGCCCCTTCAGCTCTGGTCCCTCTGTACAGTGGTGCATTGCTTGCCTAGACCCTGAGTGTGTCCTCCCCAGATGTCAGAATACAGTACAGAGTACAAATAATAAGCTGGCCCACTCTGTTGTCTAGGAAACTGAGCATGCTCAGTGCGGATGCTTTGCAAGCTGCCTACACCCTCAGCTCGTGCAGACAGTTCCCGTGATCGCTTTTCAAGTCATCATGTGTCACTGTCCGCTTGACCTAACTGGCTGCTTCCAGGAAGCAGAGCCTCACAGATGGCCAGAGCCCTCACATTCCCACTGTCTGTGGGTACAGGAACCACAGACGTCCTCTTGAGCTGCCAAACCCCACCTAGCTCTGTCTGGGGACAAGCACTCCAGAGCACAGCTGGCTCATCTGCTTCTCGTCCTTGCCTCACCGAGGCCAGGGTGACCATTGCTACCTGAGAAAAGTCTTAGTATATAGAGCCCTGGCCTTGAATTTGACCCTCCTGCGACAGCCTCGCAGTGCAGGGCGACAGGCTGTTTGGCAGTGCCGGAGATGGAGACCAGCATATTGCACTGGCCAGGAAATCACCTCCCCACTAAGCACCATTACCTGCCCCAAAGTTTTAAACACGCAGGCCTAATCTCTTAGCCTCTCTCTGACATGCCTTCTACTGTTTTTTCCAGGCTTGTGAAAGGCTGAGTGAGGTAGTCTCATGCCAAGGCTAGGTGTCCTAGCTGCCGTCCCTCTTCTGTCAGGCTGCCTGAAGCCTTCACCCAAAGCCCTGTGCTCCAGACACTGACTTCTGTCCTCATCCTGGGAGCTTGGAGAGGGGCTCCCCGGGTGCTGGAGCCAGGTTCCTGGGCACTGGGCTGCTCAAGACATTGCCTGTGACAGGGAATGATGTGCAACCTCCCCACTCCCACCCTGAGCCTGTTCCTCTGGGATACGAGAAGGCTTAATTAAGGAACAGGTGGTTTTCTAGGACAGCTTTGAGGTCTGGGCTCCCTAGGGAAAGGATCTCCTGCAGCTTGGAAGTCCTGTGCTAGTCTTGCCTGAGCATCTCCAAAAAGTAAGGGAGGTCCCCAGGAGAGTGAGGTCGGGTGAGCAACCATGCATACACACGAGCAACCACTTGGAGTCACTGTCACCTTTGTAGAACAACAGGCCACAGCCTCCCTACCTACAGAAAATGGTTTGTTTCGTAGATTTTAGAGTGCTGGCAGTGGGGGTAGAGATCAAGGAGCAGGCTTCCATGGGTTAGGATGTTACCCATCACTCCCTCTGCCCTTCATTGGAGAACTCTAGGTAGATGTTCCTCACTGGAGGATTTTAGGCATATGCTCTGTCAGACTTTTTCTCCCCAATTCCCCATCTGTAAAGCAGACCTAGCCACCTTCAGCTCAGGCAGACTAGAGAAGAGCAGGTCAGACATGTAACACCCAGTAGCTGCCCTGTGTCGTTTGTGATGTGTGTCTCAACCGCTTCCTTGCCCCTTGGGTGAAGAGTTCACCCACGGTCTCAGGAACCCAGTTTGAGGAGAGGGGTTGTGAGAATGAGTGTGCACTCTTCCATGGTCTCCTAGGAGAGCAGCTCGCACCAAGTCCTGCAGAAGAAGCCTCCCTTGCTGCTCTTCATGTGCCCTGATGTGACCATCCTGCCCCAAGGCACCACTGTCAAGGTGCTGCAAGCGTAGCCAGGTCACCAGACCAGTCACTGATAGCCAGACATCTGAAACTTAGCCACAACGTTCTTGGCCTGGCTCAGAAACAGTCGGTCTTTACTCTGCATTGTTTCTTAGCCTTCATTTCACCCATTCATATCAGGCAGTGCCCTACTCTGTTGCCTATGGCTGTCCTTGAACCTGTGATGAACCCCATGTCTGAGCCTTCTGAGTGCTGGGGTGACAGGTAAGCCTCACAGCACCTGTTTTTATGAGATGTGGTGCTGGGATCGGAAACCATGGCTTCCTGACTTCTGGATAAGCACTTCACCAGCTGAGGTGCAGCTGAGGCCCTAGCTTTAGTCTCCTCTTGATCTTTTTTTTTTTTGAGGCAGGGTTTCTTTGTGTAGCTTTGGAGCCTATTCTGGAACAGGCTGGCCTCAGACTCAGAGCTTCACCTGCCTCTGCTTCCTGCGTGTTGGGATTAAAGGCGTGTGCCACCATGTCCCTGCTAGTTTTAGTCTCTTTACAACCCTACATACTGCTTACTCACGGTAATTTCATGGTTTTTTATGTGTATGGGTGTTTTTCCTGCATGTATGTCTGTGCATCACGTGTGCAGTGCCTATCGGGCCAGAAATGGGTGCCCAGTGCCGTCAAACAGATGTTTGTGAGCTGCCATGTGGTGCTGGAAATTGAACCCAGGTCCTCTGCAGGAGCAGCCAGCACTCTCGGCCGCTGAGCCCTCTCTCCAGCCCCTTGGTAATTGTTTTGAAGGTGCTGCAGGTGGAGCTCAGCAGGCATTGCCCACTGATCTGCAGCAGCCCCTCATCCTCGTGGGACCCCCTTCCACCCTGGCCCCTCACATAAGCCCACCCTGCATGGAGGTTGGCTGCTTCATGAGCACGGCATTCTGACAAAAGGCAGAGCCTGACAGGTGTCTCAGCTCCATACTGATTCGGAGGAACACAGAACCGAACTTGCAAGTCAACTGTTCTGGAATGAGTCCCGGGTCGCTGGGCTGTGCTGAGCTTTGGCCTGGCCATCCTCAGGGTAAATATTGACAGAAATAGCTTTCTCTCACTTGTTTTGTTTTTCTGCTTTTGAGACAAGGTCTTACTGCAGCACAGACTTCCCTGGAGCTTGTGTGAGTCTCCTGTCTCATCCTCTGGAGTGTATTGGAAGTGACTCTTAGTCTGCTGCCATTCCTCCTGGGATACCTATGAGCTGAAGAAAGAGGCCCTGAGAGGAAGTGCTGGTATCCCCAGGGGCTGGGGACCCAGGGTGTGGGAGCGATAGGTGCCTAGGCTAGGTACCATAGACCTGCAGGGTGGGTGATACCACCACCACATGGAGCTGGTAGTGTCATTGGAGTTGGTGAGATACTGCTAAGTTTTCAGGATCCTCCTGGCTTTATAAGCAGCATAACTTCCTAACACATCAACTGTGTCTGCCGGGAGCCATCCCCAGCAATAGATAGGTCCCAGCAGAGGATGTAAGGATTTGGTGAGGGAAGGCAGTGAGCCAGGCCATGGCGGTCGGGAGAGTCTTGCAGCCCGACTGAGTAGCAGCCAGAGTGCTTCTCTATTTCTACAGAATTCAGTCAGCAGGGAACATCCATGTTGTTCCAAAACATAGGTCATATCATTTTTGTTTTTGGACACCAGCATTTTTTTCTTATTCATCTTTTAGTCATCATTATTAAACTGTGGTGACACAACAAAGTTATCATATCCAATCATTTTCCTTCAAGTTTGGACAACATTGATAAACAGTTATCTTTCATAACCATTTTTCCTCATCAACTCCATAACCCAATTTTTAAGGGTCCAGAGGTGCCGGGCATTGGTGGCGCACACCTTTAATCCCAGCACTTGGGAGGCAGAAGCCGGTGGATCTCTGTGAGTTCGAGGCCAACCTGTTCTACAGAGCTTGTTCCAGGACAGGCTCCAAAGCCACAGAGAAACCCTGCCTAGAAAAACCAAAAAAAAAAAAAAAAAAAAAAAAAAAAGGCATATGGTGGCCTGTTTCCAGGCTGGTAGCTTTTGTAGGAACAAGGACACTAAACCAAAACGATCTTCAAGCCATCCTGGGCATACTGTCATGTTCCAGGCAGTATATTATTGACTCTTAATGGTCAGAGTATCCAGGAAATCTCCTCAGACAAAGCTGCTGCAGTTTTTCAAACCCTGGCACAATTCAATGTTTACATTTATATCTTTTTAAAGATTTATTATGTGTACAGTACACTAAACCAAAACGATCTTCAAGCCATCCTGGGCATACTGTCATGTTATTGACTCTTAATGGTCAGAGTATCCAGGAAATCTCCTCAGACAAAGCTGCTGCAGTTTTTCAAACCCTGGCACAATTCAATGTTTACATTTATATCTTTTTTAAGATTTATTATGTGTACAGTATTCTGCCTGCATATATTCCTGCAGGTTAGAAGTGGGCACCAGATTTCATTATAGATGGTTGTGAGCCACCATGTGGCTGCTGGGAATTGAACTCAGGACCTCTGGAAGAGCAGCCAGTGCTCTTAGCCTCTGAGCCATCTCTCCAGACCATACATTTATATCTTTATAGAATACTTTTATCATCCTTCCACATCATTCTCTGTCCGTCAGTATGGGTCTGTGTAAGACAGAGGTGACTTCAGCTAATCTAATCTTTTTTTGTTTGTTTGTTTGTTTTTGGTTTTTACGAGACAGGGTTTCTCTGTATTGTTTTGGAGGCTGTCGGTCCAGCCTGGCCTCGAACTCACAGAGTGCTGGGATTAAAGGCGTGCGCCGCCACCACCGCCCGGCTTATTTCATTTTTTTAGTATTGCTATTTGCTGGTCCTGAGATGGTGCCCAGGACCTCCCACACGAACTCTGGCACTCGGTTGTATCCCCATCCTCTTGATTCAGTGTTTTCCACAATGAGGATTAAGCTTGCAGCCTCAAGTATGCAAAGCCAGTGATATCCCACTGAGCCATCTAAGCAGGGCCTCCACTCTGAGCCACGCCCCCAGCCCCTCACTGGGCGGGTTCTAGGCAGGGTCTCCACCCTGAGCCACGCCCCCAGCCCCTCACTGGGTGGGTTCTAGGCAGGGTCTCCACCCTGAGCCACGCCCCCAGCCCCTCACTGGGTGGGTTCTAGGCCAGTGTTCTCCCACTGAGGCAGCTTCCTTTACTTTTGACTGTTGCCATTCTGACCTTAAGCTCATTGACCTTGGACTCAGGTCCTCCTACCTCAGCCTCCCAAATGGCAGGGTGACAGGCCTGCACCACCAAGTCTGGTGATTAGATCATACAGATCCATGAAGTCTGAGACCTCAAAACACAATGCGCAGTGTTAGCCCTGCTTTCCCCTAAGGTCCAGTGGCCTGAGACGAAAGGACCTGAACAGGCGTCTGCACTGGGCTGGGTCTTGAGGAGAGCGTGCAGGCAACGCCCTTCCCTCTCACAACTCCTTTCTGCAGGAATGGGCAGCCCACGCTGGAGAGAGCCCTTGGGTCTACACTCACACTGGAAGAGCGCCCTGGACTGGTGACGGGGCTGGTGCCAGGTGGTTCTGGGTGCTAGGTCCCCTGACCTCCATTCCCTGCCACACTGGTGATGCTTTTTCCTCCCTGCTGTGTGGCCTCAGCCAGCCTCTTACCCTCTCTGATCTGCTGCCCCTAGTTCAGAAAAACAGGCTGTTTGTGGGGGCCATGTGCGAGTAACGAAAGAAAGGTGTTTGTTATGGTGAAGCCGTCAACCCAGGGCACAGTGACCTCAGCATTTGAGCAAAGTCAAGGGCACGGAGAGTCAAGTGAGGTAATGGCCACTGGAGCTGACCATGGTGAGCCTCAGAGGGCAACAGCTGAGCTACCGGTGCTTGCACAGTCACCATCCCGCTGAGTCCAGCTCACTCATCTCAACCAGCCCTTCTCATTCCTCAGGACTGAGTCTCCCACTGGCCAGCACGCCTGGGATGGGTAATGGTGTGCAGGAAGGCTCTGTGCGTCTGCGCGAAGATGCTGAAACTGTTCTGTCCGGGGCTGTCTCCTCAAAGGCAAGTACTGCCATCACCTCCCTGTGGGACAGTGTTTTTCAGCCTTCCTAATGCTGCAGTCCTTTAACAAAGTTCCTCATATTGTGGTGACCCCCAACCATAAAATTGTTTTCATTGCTACTTCGTAACTGTAATTGCACTACTGTTATGAATCTAAATATCGGTGGTGTTTGATGTTCTTAGGTGACCCTCGTGAAAGACTATTTTGACCCAAAGGGGTCTTGACCACAGGTTGAGAATCATGCTGTAGGACCGTCTCTGGAGTCCTCACTGGGTCAGCAGGGCACAGTGCGGTCCATGCCATCCTCACTCCCCCCGCATAACATGTTTCATTTCTGTCTGTGCTTTCTGTGAGCAAGGGCCAGGAGGCATCACAAAAGGATGCCTGCTGCCCGAGGCATCATCAAAGCCTAGCTGATGCATGAATCCAGAGACCCAACATGTGGCGAGAGGCCAAGTCCTCGCCCATACTTGCGGGAGGCACTGGAGAGCAGGGATGACAGGTCTTGCTGCAGTTGAAGGGACTCCCTCTGGAAGCGAGTGGGGGTAGGCACGATAGAGTGCGTCTGTCCTCCCAACACTCAGGACTCCAAGGCCAGACAGTCATGACTGAAGCAAAGACCCATCTCAAAAGCCTTGACAACAGCAAAACAGTGAGCTTGGGCCACCCTTGTTCCCTGCGGATGGATGTCATACTGAGCCCAAAACACAGATTGACACAGCCCGCAGACCTCACTAGGCCTGGCAGTCCATGGGCCCAGTGGCTGGTCTGGCAGTGCCCTGTGGTCCTCCTGACCTTTCCCTGGGTTACAGAAGGCACTTGGCACTACCAGGGGGATAAGAGGATGCACTTACCAGAGCCAGCTGGGAAGTCACTAGTGGGGCACTTAGTCCTTCAGAGGCTAGCTGATGGCCTGACGGAATGTAAAGCATTCCAGAGAACCTCCAGGTCAGCTCCTGCCCTCCTACCAGGGACCCACTGAGGGTACCACTACAGTAAACCCCCTCAGTCACCACTCACCACTACCCCCTGCCAGTGGCCCCCAGCATCACCCCCTGCTGGCCACTGGACCCCCAGCATCACCCCCCTGATAGCCACTGGACCCCAGCATTATCCCCTGCTGGTCACTGGACCCCAGCATTGTCCTCTGCTGGCCACTGGACCCCAGCATTTCCTGCTAGCCATTGCTTGGGTGCTGTTCTGCCCTTATGGAGGGCTAATTACCAGCTGGGCATAGTGTGCACATCTGTGATCTCAGCTCCAAATTTTGTCTCCAGTGCTGGCCAGTGATGGCATATACCTTTAATCCCAGCACTCAGGAAGCAAAGGCAGGGAGGCCAGCAGATCTCTTGTGTTCAAGGCCATCCTGGTCTGCAGAACTAGTTCAGGGACATAGAGAAACCCTCTCTCAAAAAAGGGGGGGCTTCAAAATACCACTCTGCAGATATACAAACCAGGGTGGGAATGGGGAGCCAGAGATTGCACAGGGGGCTTGTGAAAACCAGGAAGTTGGAAGGATAGCTCAGGACAGTTTGCAGGGTTATCCCCAAGGGGCTAACTGCACAAGGCCAAGCAGGGTTTCAAATGACACTGAGACTGAATGGGGAACGTAAGAGAGGGGCCCAGGGATGGCAATGCACACTTGGGTGGTTGAGGCGGAGGATTGCAAGCTGGACAGTCTGGGCTATGGGACAAGATCCTGTCTCAAAGTGGGGAGGAGATGATCACACGCCCTCAATCCCAGTGCCCAGGAGGCAGAAGCAGGAGGATCTCTGTCAGGTTGAAGCCAGCCTGGCCTACATAAGCAGGTTCCTGGGCAGCTGTGATTGCACAGTCTCAAAGTAAACAAAACAAAACAAAAAAGAAGAAAAAAGGGCTGGGGGAGGCAGCTCAGTCAGTGAAGAGGTGTTTGTCAAGCATGAAAACCTGCCTTCAGGCCCCCAAGACCCGGGGCAACCACGATGGCATGTGTCTGTGACCAGACTGAGGCAGGCGTTGGTCCTCCTCCCAGTTTTGGTCCTTCAGTGAGCAGCCCCTCTAGCCCTGTGAGGCCTTAACCACTTTGCTTTCTGAGCCCACGACCTGGTGCTCTGTTTTAGAGAGACCACAGACAAGTGCTCAGCTCCCTGCTGTCCGGAGCCCTGGCTGGTGCACTTGCCAAGACAGCAGTAGCCCCCCTGGACCGAACCAAGATCATCTTCCAAGGTAAGTGTGTCTGCCTTTGTGCAGTATGGAAGCGGCCAACTGGCTACCCACCCCCTTCTCCCCACGGCCTCAAGTAGCATACTTAGTCTCACACTGTAGCCCAGACTGGCTTCAAATTCACTTTGTAGTCCAAGTTGGCCTTGAACTTGCAGCAATCCTTCTGCCTCAGCCTAAATGCTGGGGTCACATGTGTTCGCTACCACACTCAGCCACCCTCCCCCATATCCTTCAGAGGTACATGTCACTACTCAGGGCTAGCTTCCTACACCTTGAGTTTGTTTCCAAACACAGTCATCTTTCCAGGGACCTGGCTGAGGATGTGGATGTAACTTTTGGGGACACAGTCATCCCAGAGCCCATGTCCCTCCCTGCGTACTAAACTGGCTAAGCCTCCTGCTGATAGGCAAATGATGACAGCCTCCCTCAGCTGTTGGGGAAGGCTGTCTACTGCTACCGTGCCTCAGTGGTGCCGATCCTCCCTAGGGCAGCCCATGGAGGGGATGGCCAGAGACGGGCAAGCCTCTGCGAGACTATGGGGAGCATGGCTGGGGCCCCAGGCAGGGGTTTCCTGCTGAGGGTGGGAGACATTCTCGGGCTTTCCACAGAGGCCTATACTTCTGGATCTCCCCCACAAGTCCTTGCGAGGCAGGCCTGTGGGGCCGTGGGGAGGCAAGGTAGTGCTGCTGCATTGGAGTGGGCACTTGTTCTGAGGAGACCCAGGCTCAGGGCTGGCATCAGGGACAGAGATCGGGGCCCCTCCCCAGTGTACATCCCCCAACATAGCCTCACAGCTTCAGCCCAAGCCCCTCGCCACTCTTAGGCACCTGCATGGGCTCCTTTGCCCTTCCTGGGGCCTAGGCAGAGCCCTCATCCTAGTCCATGAAGTGAAGCTCAGTGTGGGGCTGTAGACCCGGAGCCTGAGTTACATCTCTCTTGTGCTTTCCTTTGTTCCAGTGTCTTCAAAAAGATTTTCCGCCAAGGTGAGCGCCAGAGGGACTCGGTGGTCTAGGAGGGCAGGTTCCCAAGGAGCCCCGTGTGCACAGTCTCCCGGGAAGGGTGGAGGCTGCTGTCCTGCCCCCCCTGACACACCTGTGGGGTGGAGCTTCGAAGCCCGCTTCCTGTGTGACTTACCTTAACCTGGAGAGCTTTTGAAAGGGTCACTGCAGGACCAACAACCATGGTGTGCCGGGCTCCCAGCCAGCCTTGCAACCCCATTTCTGCTGATCACCAGTGTCCAGCAATTGAGGGGGTCTGAGAGCAGGGTTCTGGGAAAACAGGTGATCACTGCTTAGACTGCTCTAGCTGGGCAGGCCTGGCAAGGGGTGCCATCACCCACCCTCTGCGTTTGAGGGTGCCCAGGCCCGGTGATGGCAAAAGTGTGCTGACTCCCTGTCTGTCTTCTCCAGGAGGCCTTCCGGCTCCTCTACTTCACCTACCTCAATGAGGGCTTCCTCAGCCTATGGCGTGGGAACTCGGCCACCATGGTACGAGTGATCCCATACGCCGCCATCCAGTTCAGCGCTCACGAGGAGTACAAGCGCATCCTGGGCCGATACTATGGCTTCCGTGGAGAGTGAGGCCCCTGCCCACCGGGACCCGCCCCTCCTCACCTGGCTCCTCTTTGCCCGGGCTCCGCCCCTCACTAACCCCTCCTATAGGGCCCCAGCCCCCCCTTCCTCATCTTTCACCCCCCCCCCCCCCCCGTTCCTTTCCCTGTGCTGTCTCTCAACCCTCATTCACTTACGCCTCTGCCCAGGGATCCCCAAGGGTACCAGGCACCATGTAGCCCCCGCCTTAGGGAAGAGACCCCTTCCTGCAGTCGGGAATGGAGGCAGGAGGTTGCATTAGAGCTGGCCTAAGTGACCCCATCAGCTCAGCCACTTGGAACCCTCCTGGGTCTCCTGTTCCTTCGTACCCTGGAGGCTGAGGTGTGGGCAACCCCTGTCCCGACCCAGGTCTCAACTTATTCTGCTTGTCCACAGAGCCCTGCCCCCGTGGCCCCGCCTCCTGGCTGGTGCCCTGGCAGGAACCACGGCTGCCTCCCTCACTTACCCTCTGGACCTGGTCAGAGCAAGGATGGCCGTGACACCCAAGGAAATGTGAGTCCTGCCACAGGAGCTATGCTGGTGCTGCTGCTACCAGCAGAGGCATATGTGGGGGTGCTCCACCATCAGAGCGTATATGGGGTACTCATTGAGGATGCTTCAGAAAGCATCATTTATTCTAAAAAAAAAATACCTAAGGGTAGCTGGTGTGGTGTGCACACACTTTTAATCACAGCATTTGGGAGGCAGAGGCAGGCGGATCTCTGTGGGTTTGAGGCCAGCCTGGTCTACTTAGCAGCTCAGGGGCTAGGACACTTGCCTAGCACATGCACAGGGCATTGGTACCAGCCCCGTGTCTGGCAGAGTGGGTAGTTCCATCTCTATGGAGTGCCCTCACTGTCCAGGACATGGTGGGGTGCGGGCTGTAAGCTCTGTCACGTGGTCCTGACAGGTACAGCAACATCTTTCACGTCTTCATCCGCATCTCGAGAGAGGAAGGGCTGAGGACCCTCTACTTCGGGTTCATGCCCACCGTGCTGGGCGTCATTCCCTATGCGGGACTCAGCTTCTTCACGTACGAGTCACTGAAGAGCCTGCACCAAGGTAAGCAGGCATGGAGAAGAGGTGGGGCTTCGGGGAGCTGCCCCTGTGGACCCCACCTTTGGATAAGAACCCCACAGGAGGATAGGCAGGGACCCAGAGCCCAGTTTAAAGACACCCTGTGTCTGGTGGAACCCAGGAGCTTGGATTGTAACCTTTAATGTGTCCATTCATCTGTATTCAGTTCTTTACAAAGGGTCTCACTGTGTAACCCAAGGTGGCTGCGTTACAGCCTTATCCTCCTCCCTCACATCTCCGGCACGGGGTCATGTCCCCACACTTACCCTGTGAGGTGCTAGGAATAAAACCACAACCTGGAGCCTCTTGCATTTGAGGGAAACACCCTGCAAACAGGCAGCAACCACAGTCCCCTGCGTATCTTTGTTAACATGTGAGTGTCTGGGTATGTTGAGGCCTATCACTGGGCCTGGGTGGCTCTCCTGGGATGGCTTCAGAGTCCAGGAGGGTAGGCGCACACGTGATTTGAGCTTTCAGGAGAATGACACAGAATTGCTGGAGGCTCAGGGCCAGCCTGTGCTACATAACCAGACCCTGTGTAAAAAACTCAATTGGCTAGAAAGATAGTGGCCTATCTGTGGGGCGGTTCTTGGCACCTCAAGGTCCCCAGTCCAAGGCCCCTGTGCCTTTCTGTGCAGTGGTACAGTGTTCGTGTACAGCCTGCACCTCCCTCCCACAGCTCACCCACGGCAGCAGGGCAGGCCGCCTGGATGGGGAGATGCTGTGTATGCAGGGCAGGCCGCCTGGGTGCGGAGATGCTGTGTGTGCAGGGCAGGCCGCCTGGGTGCGGAGATGCTGTGTGTGCAGGGCAGGCCGCCTGGGTGCGGAGATGCTGTGTGTGCAGGGCAGGCCGCCTGGGTGCGGAGATGCTGTGTGCAGGCAGGCCGCCTGGATGGGGAGATGCTGTGTGTGCAGGCAGGCCACCTGGATACGGAGATGCTGTGTGTGCAGCTGTCACACCGCGTTCAGCTGGCAACAATGACAAGAAGAAAGTCTACACACAGCACAAATACAGGATGCTAAAACCCTTTCAGTCCAGCTGGGTGTGGTGGCTCATGCCTGCCCTCCACTCAAGAGGCTGAGGCAGGAGGACGGCATGAGGTGGAGGCCATCCTGGGCTACCCAGTGGGACTGTCACAGTACACCTGCTGACAGTAGGCCTGTCCACCCGAGGTCACTTGAGCCTGTGCTGTGCCTGCTGCAGGGTGACCCCTGGCCCCATGACCTGTGTGCCCTTCCCGGCAGTGTGGGCTGTGCTGGGCGCTTGCTCTGTGGAGCGGTGCCTGCAGCCCCCAGCAGGACACTGGGATGGACACCACCTTCTCACTGCTGTCCGGCACATGGCTACAGCCCTCATTAGTTTGTTGACGTCAGGCAGAGGACTGTCCTCAGGAGGACGTTGTCTATGCACCCTTCAGGGTCCAGGCGTCATGGAGAATCTTGGGACGCTCCCACAGATGAAAGGGCACTGCAGGACTGAGGGGGAACTATTGTACATGGAACCTGGGTGACCTTGTGAGCCTCACCGTTGCAAAACGCGTCTTAGTTAGGCTGGGGCGGGGTGCATTGGCAGAACACTGATCTGGGGTACATGAAGCCCCGGGTCCCACTCCCCATACTAATCCTGAGGAAAGGTGACCGGGAAGCCGGGCCTTAGGCTCTGCAAGTGTGGCCTCATGTGCCCTCTGCCCCGCAGAGTACAGTGGCCGCCTGCAGCCCTACCCCTTTGAGCGCATGGTCTTCGGGGCCTGTGCCGGCCTTATCGGGCAGTCAGCCTCCTACCCTCTGGACGTGGTGCGGCGGCGCATGCAGACAGCAGGCGTCACAGGCCACCAGCACGGCTCCATCCTGAGCACGCTGCGCTCCATCGTGCGTGAGGAGGGCGCGGTGCGGGGCCTCTACAAGGGCCTGAGCATGAACTGGCTGAAGGGCCCGATCGCCGTGGGCATCAGCTTCACCACTTTCGACCTCATGCAGATCCTGCTGCGCCGGCTGCAGAGCTAGGCCCACAACGGACGGTGAGCTTGCGGATGGATGGAGGGCATGCAGCTGTGCATTGGCAGCCCCGATGGCACCTTGAGGATGGCCAGGAGGGTGGGACCTGGCTTGGGGCTGCAGGGCCCATAGCAAAGTGCTGGCCCTCGGGGTGTGACATGTAATGGTGGGTCATGGTTGTGCCCCTCCCTGCAGCTCAGTGAGCCGCTGGTGAGTCTTGGGGGGGGGCGTTACCCCAAGGCCCCTAAGGGGTCAGCTGCACTTCCTGGCCCCACCTCTCCTGACCTGCTGCTGATTCTAGTGCCCACTGGCACCCTGGGCTCAGAGCCCACCCCTCTTGCTAAGACCGTGCCTGGCCTGCAGATTTGACAGCCTTCCCTCAATGCCACACCCTGGAGGGTTGCAGCTTGCTCAGTGGTGGCTGTACCTGTGTCCCTCAGTCCTCCACCATGCCTGCCCACCCTCTCCCAGGTGACAGACGGCTGCTCTTGCCCGCAAAGCTTTCTCCCCAGAACACTATACCCATCCCGTTCCTGAGGGCTGCATCTGACCTTGTCAACTACCTGGCTTTTAACCTTCCCAGGAGGTACCCCAGCAGAAGGGGCAGGTACAGACCCCACTGGAAATGCCCATGTGGGTCTCCCTAACCTGGGACGTCTTCCAAAGCATGTCACCCGGGCCACTGTGCAGCCCCAAGGCTTTTGTTTGCACAGCACCCTTGGAGATGGGGTGCCTAACCATGAACTCTGGGCCTTCTGTGGGCCACTGGTCCCCACTGAGGCCGTCATAAGCCAGGCCAAATGACGGCCCAAAATTGGCCTGTGTGAATGTGTGCAAAAGTGTCTTGGGCACCTGGGTCCACCAGCCAGCTAATCTCAAAAACTCTCCTGGGGTCCCCAAGGTGTCACAGAAACTTCATGCTTTCCTGAGGTGTGGGGTTCTTGATTTGGGGTCTTTGAGACAGCCTCCCCCAAGAAGCCCTGGCTAACATGTCCCTCTGTGTGTCACCTGGGCTAGCCTCCAACTTGCAGCAATCCTCCTGCACCTAGTTTCCAGTTTCCCCTTATCGTAGCCCAGGTGACACACACAAAACCTGTGCTGTGTCAGCCAGTCCTGGCTCAGAGGTGGGCCAGCTGTTTCTCACAGCTGGGCGGCAGCTGTCTCACGTGGAGCCTGAGCAGGGCAGCTTGACCCCCGGCCTTTCCAGTGCAGACCACAGTCCTCCTCCTTATTGTATTTCTTTTTTCCAAGACAGGGTTTCTCTGTAACTTTTGGAGGCTGTCATGGAACTCACTCTGTAGACCAGGCTGGTCTCGAACTCAGAGATCTGCCTGCCTCTGCCTCCCGAGTGCTGGGATTAAAGGCGTGCGCCACCACCAACGGCCGGCATGTTATTGTATTTCTTACCTTGTGCCTGTGATGCTCGGCCATCTCCGTCTCCTTTGCAGATGGTGACAGGCCATCCCCAACATGTCCCCAGGCACCCCAGCAGCCTGTGGTGGCTGTGAGGGACCATCCCCATCCCCTTGTGAGTGTGCTGCCCACTCTGTTCCTTGCCTGGCCTGCATACTGGAGTGGAGAGGCTGGGCACCCCACACCAGGGAGTCAGAGGACAGAGCCCTGCATTGGGCAGCCAGCTGGGTGGGAGAGGTGAGGGTGTTGGGGTCCCTATCTGCTTCCCCATAGCCTCCCAGTAGTTCTGGCCTGGGGGCTCTCCACCTCTGTGGCTACCCTTTCCCATAGCCACTGTCCAGTCTGGAGTTCTATTTTGATGCCATGAAAACACTTTGTTTATATATATTGTTTATATATTTTAAAGATTCGTGCCAAAAGAGTATATTTAATAAACATTTAAATAACTTCTGCTTCCCTGCTTCTTCAAGCCTGGCCCTTCCCTACGCTGTGAACTTCAGCCCTGAGACGGGTCTGGGGCTGGCTGACACTCTTACATATTTTGTGTATGGGGGCTTTGCCTGCATGTATGTCTGCCTATGCATGCCTGGTGTCTGAGGCCAGAAGAGGACATCAGATTCTCTGAGACTAGAGTCAGATGGCCATGAGCCACCACGTGGGTCCTCAGCACTGAACCTGGGTCCTCAGTAAGAGCAGCCATGCTCTTACCTGCTGAGCCACCTGTCCAGCCCACTGGTCATCCTTGTTAAGAGTTGATGCTTCCAAGTGTGTTGTCCGAGCACTCTGCTTCTTTCTCACAGATGTGTGTGTGTGTGTGTGTGTGTGACACAGGCTACTGGGAATGAGACCTGGACTGCAGTGCAGCTCTGCAGCAGAGCCCCTGCCTCGACCCCCCGTGAGGGCGGGAGGTGCGCTCAGTGGAGCACTCACTATCACATAAAAGGCTCTGGGATCATTTGCCAACACACACGAAGATTCAAAAACATAGTAACCACATAGCTGAATCTGCCACTGATAAAATGCTTCCTATATTTATTTAAGTATCAGAGATATATAATCCAGGCTGACTTCAAATTCTTGCATAGTGCTGGTGGCTAGCCTGCCTCTAGTCAGTCATCAGCTGTGCTCCCCATGCTGGCAACAGAGACATCAGCCACAGGACATCAGCCAAGTGTCTGGTGTGTGCCCTCCACTCTGAAGTCCTGCAGAGCACAGCCCTGGTTCCCAGTGTTGTCTCTCTCTGCACCCCTGCAGGCAGACCCCTTTACTTGCCCACTTCTGATTCCCATGCAACTTCACAAGCTCTCACAGCCCTTGTCAGGGTCAGTCTGGGAATCTGCCCCAAGAGGCAGGAAATCCCATGATCCGTGCCACACACACCTCAGCCATGCTTGCGTAAGTCATCAAGACCTCAGTTCAGATTCCCAGAACCCGCAGAGCAGCACAAGCGTCACACCGGCACTCCCGTGGCAAGAGGGGAGGTGGGCGCCAGAGCCCCTGAAGCTTGTTGAGCAGCTAACCTGAGGGCTTGGGGTGAGCAAGAGACCCTGTCTCAAGGCAGACGATAAGGCCTGAGTGCTAAGCCGGTCTGGACCCTATCGTCATGGCAACTGTGGGCCTGTGCACAGCCACTTTCCTAACCCTTCCCAACAGACACCTGGTGCCTTCTTGCCAGAGGGAGACCTCAGGGCTCTGCCTGAGCGCTGGCTCCGGAACATGGCCATTCTCCATACCACTGGCCGTGTCCCCAGGCAGCACCCCAGGAGCCCTCGTCTTTATTCTCAGTACACATTATGTAGGAGGTCACGAAACACACTAGCACACACACAAGCCCATGCACACCTCATAAAACACGCACACACACTAGCTCTGGAGCTGGTGGTAACCCTCAGTCACCAAGGCCCTCAAGTCATCACAGCAGTCACCTCAGCTCCCAAGACGGCGACGATCCCTCCTTCCCCCCACACTTCACTTTCTCTCGTTTAGAGACATGGTCTTGTTACTAGTCTAAGCTAACCCTCCTGCCTCAGTCTCCCAGTATGCTGGGGAGATGGACATGGGACTCTTGTCTTTCCCTCTGGGTGGACAGTGACAGGCCCCAGGGGACGTGGGTGCGGGGCCTGAGCCCCCCCACCTTTCTCCTAGCCACCCCCAACCTCCTCCATTTCTCCAATCCTACCTAACAGCACTCTCCTAACCCTTACCACACAAGCCTGCCCTACTCGGCTCCCCAGCCTTCGGTATAGTCTGTGAAAGCCGCCGCCCCTTTTCTGAGAGCAGCCTCCCACTGAAATCCTGATCACACGCACACACACTTGAGGACCATGGCCTCCAGGTCCAGGGGACCCGATTCAACCGGCCCACAATCTAGGCACTGGGGTGAGATTATCCCCGGGTCATCTCGGGACTGAGGTACACACACGGGACAGTGCCAGTCCTGGTGGACAGGGATCGGATGCCAGCGCCCAGTGGCATCTCATTAGGCAGCTGCGAGGTGCCGGTGGAAATAGAGGCCGAAGAGGCTGGAGAGCAGCTGGCAGGCAGCGGTCCACCAGATGAGGTAGGCCAGCACGCCACGGAGGAACAGGGGCGTCAGCAGGCTGCCCAGGACCCCTGCCACCTGGGCCGCAGTCCGCTGGGCTTCGTCCTCGGCAGGGTCCACAGACACCAGAGTGTCTGAGGACTGGGGTGGCGCCAGTGGGGTTGGAGCAGGGCCCAGGGCCCAAGAGTAGCCGCCTGCAAGAGGGAAGAAGGGAATTATGGGTGGAGACAGAACGGTGTGAGTCTAGAGACTCTCACATCAACCCCCCACACGAGGTTATACCCCACTGACCTTTGGGGGCCTCCATCCTCCCCAGTCTACCTGCTGGTCCCACATCTGCGATCTTACCCAAATGCTGCCCTCACTTTTACAGCTGGTCCCACCCTTACCAAGTCCTTACTCAGCCCTACTAGCGGCTTTTATCTGGAGACCCCACCTTTCCAGGCCCAGCCCCGCCCTCCCCGCTGGCCCCGCCCCTGCTGGCCCCGCCCACCCCACAGCCCGCACCCAGGGTCTTGAGCAGCAGTGTGCAGTGCAGGGTGAGGATGAGCGGTGTCAGGTACTGGAGGCTCACCACGGTCACATAGCAGTAGACCCGGACCACCTGGGGGGAAGCAGTAGAAGCTGCAGAGGGGGTGGTCTTCCTAGGACAGGGACCCCATGAGCAGGCCAGGCCCCTTAGCCCACGGACTGCGCCCCCCGGGGTGCATACCCGCTGCTGAATCTCCCGGGCCTCGATGCGGCCAGCCTCCTTGCGAAGCTGCTCCACTCGAGCCTTAGCCAGGCACAGGTAGGCCTGTAGGTGTGGCCGGGTCACAGCCAGCCGCAGCAGGCACAGCACCACCAGCGCCCAGAGGCGCAGGGAGTCGAAGGCCCCTTCCGATGGTCTGCAACAAGAGCCAAGCAGACAGGGAGTTTGGGTGAGCCCTCCCCCAGGCCACAATCTTTCCAGCTCATCCCCGTCTCAGACACCCCGGGTCCCTCAGCACCCCGACACACGCACAGAGAAGTGGTCGCGTTCTTCATGGGTGCCTGGTACAGTAAGTCACGGGCGACAGGCTTTGTCCAGAGCCACAGGGTGCACAGGGGTGACAGGAAGCTGGTGTGCAGGAGCAGCCTGGGGGGAGCACCACGGTGGGGCCAGGCTGACCCCAGCCTTCACCCCAACCCCCACCTTACCCCAGGAGCCACGCTTAACTGCAGCAGGGGCCGGTCTGCATTTAGGGTGAGCGCGTCCTGGTGGGTCTGGGCCAGCCTGAGGCCCGGGAATATGAGGAAGGCGCCCAGCAAGGAGCCTAGCACCGCCAGCCCAAGGCGGACAGCCAGCTTGACCCCGGGGAGTCTGGGGAGAAGAGAAGGCCTCAGGGAACCCATTCAGCCTGGAGGGTAGCTCCAGATGCTCCCTCTACCTGTGCCTTCCCCCAAGATCCAGTGCCCAGGACTCACGCCCAGTCCCACCCTTCCTTCTTCAGAACAGGCTCCAGGTTTTGGATCACGCTGGCCAGACCTAGGGAAAGATCACGTGTGTGGATTGTTACAGCTTCCAAGGCTGACTGGTCTTCCAGCTCCCAGAATCCACCCATCTCCGGCAGTCAGTTGCTACCCTTGACAAACTCAGGTCCTCATGCTTGCAGAGCAAGCGCTGTCCCAAGCCCCAGCTCAGACAATCTGTTTTACTTTATCTAATTTTTCTATATACGAATGTTTGCCTGTATGTGTATCTGTTTGCCACATGTGTGCCTGGTGCCTGTGCAGGCCAGAGGAGTTACAGGTGGTGTGAGCCTCCATGTAGATGTAGGAATTGAACCTTGGTCCTTTGTGAGAGCAGCCAATGCTCTTAACCACCGAGCCATCTCTCCAGCCCCAGACAATCTATCCATGCTGGGATGCAATCCAGAGCCTCCACACGCTGTGCTGTGCCTGTCCCTGAGCCACAGAGACCTGCACGCCCAGACTGTGCGGGACTCTTCGAGAAACAAAACCTAAGGAGGGGAGACAGCTCAGAAGGCACAGGCTGCTCTTCCAGAGTCCTGAGTTTATTCCCAGCACCCACATGGTGGCTCACAGCCATCTTTAAGGTACCTGATTCCTTCTGGTGTGTATGAAGACAGCGCACTCATATACATAAGTAAATAAATCTTAGAAATAAACAAAAGCAGGGCCAGGTACATGGCTCAGCAGTTACCGTCCCACACAGGCTCACAGCCTAAATAACTCCAGTTCTGTGGGTCCAGTGCCCTCTTCTGGCCTTCGCAGGTACTTCACAATCCCCATACACACACATAGGATGGCAAAGCACCCATACATATGAAATAAAAGTAAATCTTTTGTTTTGTTTTGTTTTGTTTTTTGGTTTTTTCGAGACAGGGTTTCTCTGTGGCTTTGGAGGCTGTCCTGGAACTCGCTCTGTAGACCAGGCTGGCCTCGAACTCACAGAGATCCGCCTGCCTCTGCCTCCCGAGTGCTGGGATTAAAGGCGTGCGCCACCAATGCCCGGCTTAAAAATAAATCTTTAGAATAGTAATAACATAAATCTTTTTAAATTTTATGTGCATTGGTGTTTTGCCTGCATGAAGGTGTTGGGTCCTCTGGAACTGGAGTTACAGACAGTTGTGAGCCACCATGTGGGTGCTGGGAATTGAACCCAGGTCCTCTGGAAGAGCAACCAACCAGTGGCTGCTCTCAACTGCTGAGCCACCTTTCCAAACCCCTGTAACAACATAAATCTTAATCCCGTTATGTAGGTGGCAGAGTCTGAAGGGTCTCTGTAAGGCCAGAGCCACAGAGTGAGACCCAGTCTCAAGCGAGGAGAAACCCCAGAGTGAGACCCAGTCTCAAGCGAGGAGAACCCCCAGAAGTGCAGCCCCAAGCAGGGGGGCGCACCCACCTGGCTCCAGACCCAGCTCCAGGGTCTCCTCCCGCACCACCTGCACCAGCATGGCCAGCAGGAGGACGAGGAAGGCAAAGGTGAGACACACGGAGCGCTCGCCGCCCTCCCTGGCGCTGAAGTACAGCCGAGTCACCATGAGGAACACTTTGCTGAGGGTGGGGTTAAGAAAGCAGGGACATCACATGGGAGGCAGAGACAAGAGGGTCCCTGAGTTCGAAACCAGCCTGGTCTACAAAGCGAGTTCCAGGACAGCCAGAGCTACACAGAGAAACCCTGTCTCAAAAACCCAAGCCAACCAAACAAAAAAGATGGGCCAACTCCCAGCAAGCTGTCCCCTGGTCTCCCCAATTCTATAGAGCTGGAGGGACAGGAACGCACCCCGTGGGGCCAATCCAAGAAAACCAGAGTGTGTGTAGAGTATGATAACACACACCTGTAACTCCAGCACTCAGAACGGCGAGCCAGGAGGTTGACGCCACATTGGCCTGTATACCTCTGACTCTGGGACAGGTTTGTGGCACAGGGGGTGACCCAGCAGACAACAAGTTAGAGGGACAGGGAAACGCAGAGGAAGGATACAGGGAGAAGGCCAGTGTGAGCAGACACCAGAACACAGCGATGTTGGCCTCCTGAACCGGGCCCAGCACAGCATAGTAGGCCTCGGTGAAGAGGTACACACCAACGGAGTACACGGCGAAATCCACGAACCACTGGTACTCCAGAAAGAAGCGCAGCACTGCGGGGACAGGGCTCAGCACGCTCCAGGCTTGCCTTGCCAACCCCACCCCACCCTCACCCCTGGGCGAGACCTCAGCAGCCGGGCTGGCGTTACCTAGGACATCCACAGCAGTGAGCGGACAGGTAGCCAGCTGGAAAGGGGCGTCTCGAGGCACTAACAATGGCTTCTCATCACGAAGGCCATTTGCCCACCTGAGCACGAGTGAAAGGGAGGTCGTAAACCCTGCCAGAGGACTCGGTGGTGCTGTTTGAGAAAGACCTTCCGCCACATTCAGGGTGGGGCAGCCTAGGCACAGGGCCAACCCAGAGCTAACAGCCAGGAACACAAGAGGCTAGCCCAGTCACCTGTATCCAGCACCATGGCGGGAGGGAGGGCCACGCCCCCCAGCCTGGAGTCCTTGGGCAGGCATGAGGCCTGTCCCTGGACAGGAGGGGACAGGCCTGCCTGGGCCTTGTGGAGTCCAAATGGGGGCCACTCACCGTTCCTTCCTGCCTCTGGGCCTTGGTTTCCCTGCCAGCACCCAAAGATCCTCCTCTGAGGGGTGTACGTATCGGAACAGGCTGAGGAGGAAAAGTCAGAAAAGCTTGGCCTGGGGGCAAAGACGTGACTCTGGTCTTGAGAGAGCACTGGGCAGTGGCAGAGCTGCCACAGGGGGCGGCCCTGTAGGAAGGTGGCCCAGAAACAGCCACAGCCAGCGGAATTCTGGGGACATGAGATGGGGGAGCTGCTCCGGCCACAGGGGATACCCTTAAACGTGTGGGCCGACTCTCCTGGGGCCCATGCATTCTTCTAAGAGGGGAAACCACTCCCACAGAACCCTCAGAAGGGGCCAGACACCAAAACAGCGAAAACCGGAGAGAGCCGGATTACTAAGGGCCAGGATGGGGCGGTGGAGGTGTGTGGCTCTGTTGTCAAGACAGATCCAAGGTGTTCTTTAAAGACACCCAAGGACACTGGGAAGCGTGGTGGTGCAGGGTTTACACCCCAGCGCCCGGAAGTTAGAGGCGGGCTCTCTCCTGCCTGTACCTCCAACTGCGATGCCGCTGGTCTCCCCAGGCACCCGCACGCATGAGCACAACCCCACGTGTGAAGACACACACCTACGCATAGTTAAACGCAGTACAAGTCTTTACAAACGAGGGCAGAGGAGGGAGCATAAGCAGGAGGGCTGGGCGGGAGGGAGGGCGGCCGGGCTGGGGCTTACCTGCCGTTACAGAGCAGCCAGCGGGCGAAGGAGCAGTGTGGGGCCAGCCTGTGCATGAGGGTGGCGGTGAACAGGGTCACCACCAGCTGCACTCCGAGGACAGCCTGAGGAAGCATCACTAGTCAGAAAGTCAACAGCTGCCAAGCTATTTGTAGGGAAGATGGGTGGACGGGGGTCCCCCGGCTCTGGTGGCATCTCTCAGAAGACAACTGGGGTGACACAGACATCCCACCCACCCTCAGATGACTAGGTCTAGCCTGTTATACAGAGTGAGTTTCAGGTCACACAAGGCTGCATAGTAAGACCCTTTCTAAATAACAAGACAGGGTTTCTCTGTGTAGCCCTGGCTGTCCTGGAACTCACTCTGTAGACCAGGCTGGCCTCTGCCTCCTGAATGCTAGAATTAGAGGCGTGTGCCACCATTGCCCATTTAAATAAGCTTTTAAAAAAAGGGGCTTAAAGGGGGCTGGAGAGATGGCTCAGAGGTTAAGAGCACTGAGTGGTCTTCCAGAGGTCCTGAGTTCGATTCCCAGCAACCACATGGTGGCTGACAACCATCTACAATTCAATCTGGTGTCTATGTAATAAATAAATAAATCTTAAAAAATAAATAATAAAAAGGGGTTTTAAAAATGGAGGGAGAGGCTGGAGAGATGACTCAGTGGTTAAGAGCACTGGTTGCTCTTCCAGAGGACACAGGTTCAATTCCCAATACCCAATTGGCAGCTCATAGCCCTAACTCCAGCCCCCAGGGAATCCTACATCCTTCTCTGGTCTCTAAGGACAGCTGATACTCAAGTGGTGCACGGACACACATACAAAACATCCACATACATAAATAAAAGAAAAAATATATTTCAGCCGGGCGTTGGTGGCGCACGCCTTCAGTCCCAGCGCTCGGGAGGCAGAAACAGGCGGATCTCCGTGAGTTCAAGACCAGCCTGGTCTACAGAGTGAGTTCCAGGACAGCCTCCAAAACAATACAGAGAAACCCTGTCTCGAAAAACAGAAAAACAAAAATCTTTTAAAAAGAAAAAAGGAAAGCCGTGCATGGTGACACACGCCTGTCCTCCCAGCACTCCGGAAGCTGAGGCAGGGGAATCAGAAGTTCGAGGTCACCCGAGGCTACGAAGTTCTAGTACAGCCTGGGCTACACGGGCCGATGTCAGGAAGCAAAGCCCGCTGCGATCCTGGCTCTCTGACTCCTGACGAGAGCCCTGGCTTCACCTCCCCCGCGTCGTCCACCCCCGCAGTCCCGGAGCTCCCTCCGCACCGCAGGACCCCACACTCCCTGGACGGACCCCTCGGGGCCTGCTCACCATGTCGGCTCCCGGGGCGCACCCACGCACGAGGCTGGAGGCGAGGTCAATTAGAGACGGGAGCTTGAGAAGCCGAGCTGCTCGAGAAGCCAGTCATCGGGCTAGGAACCGGGTTCGTGATGCATGCTGGGAATTGTAGTTCTAGCGGGAACTTTCATATCTGCTTTCTCTGTGGGGTGTAGGGTAAAGGGCCACCCAAATGCATGTTGGGAATTGTAGTTCTAGCAGGAGCAGGACCTTTTATGTCTGGTGTGCGTGCGTGCGTGTGCGTGTTGTAGGGTAAAAGGGCAGCCAAAACCCTGAAACCGGTGCCAGTGAAAGAAACATGCCCTGAACCTGAAATTAGACCAAAGTGCCAGTGAAAGAAACACACTTTGACCGGTAAAACCAAACCTGCCCATCAACCAAGCAGGAAACCAGCCAATCCCTGAGCAGGAAAACGAACCCACCCCTAAGCAGGAAAATAACCAATCACGAGATCTAGCCAGTCTCAGCTCAAGGGACTGAAACCTGACTAATCCCCACCCTGAAAATCTTCTGGGGGGGGGGGGGGGAGACGTACCCCTAAGCCCTGCTCCTGTTTAGTTTGCTGCTGTCTCCTTGCCAGAGGCAGCCACTTTCCTGGATTCTTCCCTCCCGATAAATCTTTTTGTTTGTTTTGGTTTTTGTAGGGAAAAGGGACCAGTCAAAGAAACACACTTTGGCCCTGCAACCAGAACTAAAGAAATGTACCCTGACCCTGAAACCACTGTCAAAAGAACACAGTTTGTCCCTGGAATCAGAGTCAGTGAAAGAAATGCACCCTGGCCCTAAAATTGGAGCCAAAAGGCTAAAAAGGGCCAGAGAAAGAAACACACTTTGGCCCTGAAACCAGAGTCAAATCTGACCCTAATCCTGTGCAGAAAACTAACCAATCCTTGAGCAGAGCTCTAGCCAATCTGAACTCAGCATTAAAATCTGACCAATCCCCACCCTGGAAGCCCTATATAAACCCTGTGTCTGCTCAGTTTGCGATTGTTCATGCTACCAGCCGTCCTCTGCCAGTCTGGCAGAGGGCAGCCACTCTCCTGGATTCTTCCTTCCAATAAATCCCTTCAATGAGCTTTGGCTGAAGATCTTCTTTTGCGGTGGGCGGCGGAGCAGAGGCGACCCTGGGCAGAGCAGAGCGAGCAGACAGAGCAGAGAGCAGGGCTATAACACTCTTGCCAGGGAAACCTTCCCTTGGCAGAGCAGAGTTGTTACACTCAGCTCTCCATTCTCCAGGAGCAGAGCTGAACTGTAGCAACTTCCCCGGAGAAACCTCCTGCAGAGCAAAACTGCTACACTGGGCGAACATCCCCAGCAGGAAGACCCTGTCCTGCTGGAGCGGAGCCGATGAACAGGGGAAGCCTTTCCCTGAGGCTGGGCTGTGAGCAGCTAAGTTTACTGCAACTGTGGTGGTCCTTTGCTCCCGAGCTCCAGGATACCTTTCCACCTGAGCTGTGTAACACTGTGACTCCCGAGTGCCAGAATACCTGACCCATTCCCATACAGCCTGAAATGCTAACAGTTTTGTTTTTTGTTTTTGTTTTTTTTTTGTTTGTTTGTTTCTCGAGACAGGGTTTCTCTGTGGCTTTGGAGGCTGTCCTGGAACTCGCTCTGTAGACCAGGCTGGTCTCAAACTCACAGAGATCCGCCTGCCTCTGCCTCCTGAGTGCTGGGATTAAAGGCGCGTGCCACCAACGCCCCGCTCAGTTTTGTTTTTTCAAGACAGGGTTTCTCTGTAGCTTTGGAGCCTGTCCTGGCACTTGCTCTGGAGACCAGGATGGCCTCGAACTCACATAGGCATGCGCCACCACCACCAGGCTCCATCCTTTGCCCAAGCAGAAGCCAAGCCTGGGCAGAGCGAAGCAGGGAGGGCAGAGTGAAGCATGGAGGTAAAGCTTTCGCCAGGGAAACTTTTCCTTAGAGGAGTTGTTACATCCCACCGGACCTGAGTGGAGCTGTAACAACTTGTCAGGGAAACCCTCCCCTGTCAGAGCAGAGCTGTTCCGTTGAGGAAACCTTTCCTTGAAGCAGGACTGTAAGCTACTATGCTTACTGTGACCTGTGGTATTCCTTGGCTCCAGATTACCAGAATACTTTTCCATCCAAGCTGTAACACATGTGTGTGAGGTAGAGTCCCTGTGTAACTCTGGTTGTCCTAGAACTCCCTGTGTAGAGCAGGCTGGTCTAAAACTCACACAAGTCCACGACCTCTGCTTCCCTAGGGTGGAGAGTAAGGTGCACGATACAATGTTGGACACACCCCCTTTTTATTGACTTTTTAAAAAAGCTTCATAGCCCTAGATGATGGCTGGTTACCCAATAAACCTCGATATTTTGGTGTTTGAACAGGAGCAGAAATATAATTTTTGGAAACTGCCCTAGCACAAACAGCTTTTCCTGGGGAAATTTGATGTCTCCCTAATCAGTCAGCAACAGCAAGATCTCACCAAAAAGGTTGCTACAGAACCCGAGGAGCCAGAGCCTCATGAGTAGTCAGTAAAGAGAAAATCCCTATCCCCCACTGCCCAGGGCACCCCAAAAGGTCCCTTCAGCAAGTCTTCCAGAGCCACTTCCAAATCGGAGAGTCCTCACCAGCAGAATGCTGCTGGCTCTAAGGATGTGTGGGCTTTCCTCCCAGACCTCTTTGTGTGCTCCCTTTATATAATTTTTCTCTCACTAGAGGGCAGACTAAGTCTACAGTACAACAGTGGCTGTTCAGATTAACAGCTCAAAGGATGACAGTGACAAATCAGACATAAAAACTGCACCTCAAAAACCAACCTTGGGATCACACTCAAGGGGAGACAAGGACGGACTGGGGGTGTCTGCCCCTCCCTTAAAGGACGGCCCCGCTGCTCTCTCACCTGGGGGTGTTGAGCCAGGTTCACAGAGCGAGACTAACGCAAGGAGTCGACACTCTGCTGCAAATGCCAAAGGTTTCCTTTATTCAAGCTGTTTTTTGTTTGTTTCTTTCTTTCTTTTTTTTTTTTTGGTTTTTTGAGACAGGGTTTCTCTGTGGCTTTGGAGGCTGTCCTGGAACTAGCTCTTGTAGACCAGGCTGGCCTCGAACTCACAGAGATCCTCCTGCCTCTGCCTCCCAAGTGCTGGGATTAAAGGCGTGCGCCACCAACGCCTGGCTTGCCTCTGCCTCTTGAGTGCTGGGATTAAAGGCGTGCGCCACCAATGCCCAGCTCTTTTATTCAAGCTGGCCAGCTCAGATGTCCTTCCATGGTGGAGGAAATGAGTTGCCTACCAGCCAAAAAGAGGAGCTTTTAAAGGGAAAAGGGGGAAGGGGAGTCCCAAGACCACAAGTCTCAGTTTCCAAGGTTCCCATGATTACAGAGATTCCTTAGCACACAGGGTTTCCACACAGGGTTGTCATGAGAGGAAGGTGGTAACTGTCACTGGTTAGGTAGAACTAACTGGCACATTGGTGGTCTGGGGGTTCATGGCCAGAGCACAGGGTCTAACAAAGAAACAACAAAACACTACAATTCTAATTGGTGTTTTTGCTACATCTAACTAGTCATTCAACGAGGGTCAATGAAGTTTGCCAGGCTCTCGCCTAGTTTTACCGGTTGGCAGTTCAGATCACTGCCTGGTCCGAATGGTTTTCTTGAGAAGCAAATGGTTAACTCAGAGTACTCATTTAAATGTCAAAGCTGGCTGATGACTGACAGACAGCCTGCAGGCTGTCAAACTCCTCCCTGATTTACAAGTTCAAATAGTGATTCCCCAAGAGTCACACTCTATTTCTTCACCTGCTTCCCCTATTGTAGCTAAAAATATGTCTCTCGACCCCTTTATCTATATGAATGAGGCCTCTAGACTTCTGGTTTGTTTACAAAAATTCAAGGTCACGTAATGCAACTGGGAAATTCCAGTTAGACAATCTGAAACTGAACCACTGGAGACAAGGACCCTCTCCATGGTCTGTTAAATGCCCTACACGATTTTCCAGTTTGATTGGGACATCCAAGGCAACTAGATGAGTGCTGCTTTACAGCTCTCATCTCTTAACTCTCGACATCCCTGCCCCAGCACCTCTGGGGTGCTGTCTGTGTCTCTGCCCCCAAAAATCCTTAGATTACATCCCTAAAGCTAGCCACCAAGGTCTAGTCCTTATTTGGCCCCTCCTGAGACTGACTACCAAGGCCCTAATTAACATATCCAATTAAAATTAAACCGGCATCCTAACATGGGGCTTCCCTTCCCCATTTATCTTCATAAACCACTATTTTCCTATGGGCCATGTCTGTCTCCGCTCTATCCAGAGGCCGTCCTTTGTCCCTCTGGGACAAATACCCTTTCCCCTTGAAATATAAAAACAAATAAATAAAAGTCTAATAAGTTAGCCGGGCAGTGGTGGCACACACCATCAATCCCAGCACTTGGGAGGCAGAGGCAGGTGGATCTCTGTGACTTTGAGGCCAGCCTGCTCTACAAGAGCTAGTTCCAGGACAGCCTCCAAAGCCACAGAGAAGGTCTGTCTCAAAAAACCAAAAGAAAAAAGAAAAAAACAGTCTAATAAACTCCAAAAGCCCACATAAAAAAGAAAAACTCTTGCCTCTCTGAGTTCCCAGAAAGGCAGCCTGACAAAGAACTGGTAGAGGCCTGGGAGCAGATAACAACCCGCCCAGCTTGTCAACATTTCTGTGTCCTAAAGAGCCACAGCTGTCACTTCCTAGTTGTAAAAGTCCCTGTCTAGGAGATAATTAACAAACTTGTTTCCTCTACAGCATCCTGTTTAATTGCATCCTGCCTAAACATAGTTATTGTTTCATCCTATGTAACCAGAAAAGCTTTGTGATCTCAACACATCCAGTCTTTGGAAATTTCCACTTTAAAAACCTTAGCCAAAAAGAAGGATTCCCCAATGGGCAGGGTCCGGAGCTGCAACAAAGAAACCTTTGTCTTTACATTCTGTGTGTCGCTTCCTCGGCGGTGGATTTTTGGGGTTTCCTCATCTGGGCATAACACCCTATCCCTTGTCCTCCCTCCCATCTCCCTCCCACAGCACCCTCGCCCGTTCTAACACAGGCCTCGCCACCTCTTCCTCCGCTTTAGAATCACACTGTCAGCTCATCTGCTGCTGCTTTCACCTGAGTCAGGAAGCAGCCACTTTATAAAGGAGGTCTCTGCGGAAACAGATGTTTGGAAGTGGTTTGTGTCTACTTCGGGGTCCTTCAGGCTGGCCTCAAACTCACAGAGATCTGCCTGTCTCTCCCTTCTGAGAGCTGGATTAAAGGCGTGCGCCACCACCGCCTGGCCGTTTTTTGTTTTGTTTTGTTTTCTGGTTTTATCACATTTATTTGTGTGTTGACGCCAGAGAACAAATTGCCGGAACTGGGTCTCTCCTTTCACCCTTGTGGGCCCCAGGGATCTAACTCGGGTTGTCTGGTTTCACGGAAAAGGCCTTCCTTGGCTCGGGGCCTGTTTGTTTTTAGATGGGGTCTGGACTCTGTTCTGCATTATGTGGACAAGAATGACCTTGAAGTTCTGATCCTCCTACCTCCAGTGACAGAAGCTTGTGCTAGGTCAGTTTTCTCGGTGTTGGGGGAGGAGTCCAGACGGGCATGGACCAGCCCTGTTCTGTACGTGACCGCCCCAGCTCAATCTGGCCTGGCCTGGATATCTCTGAGCGCTCTTCTCACCAGCCATCCACGTGTGGTGGATCCCACGGAGGGCTGAGGCAGGAGGATGTTAGGTTCAAAGAGAGTCTGGCTGGGTAGCCAGTTTGAGGCTGCTAGGGTTTCGTGTAATGAGACTGTCCCAAAAGACAAATTTTTTTGGTTTTTTTCGAGACAGGGTTTCTCTGTATTGTTTTGGAGGCTGGCCTGGAACTCGCTCTGTAGACCAGGCTGGCCTCGAACTCACAGAGATCCACCCGCTTCTGCCTCCCTATTGCTGGGATTAAAGGCTTGTGCCACCAACGCCCGGCCAAAAGACAAAATTTTAAAACCAGGAATAGCTAGTCAAAGGAACTTCTCATCCAGCTGAGGGCCTGGGTTCTAATCCTGGCACAAACATGCTGAAAGAGAGAACCAACTCCTGCAAGTTGACCTCTGACACCATACTAGTCATAAATTTTTAAAAAGGGGTGGCTGCCTGAACTAGGCAGCTCACATCTTTAATTCCTGAACTAGCAAGACAGAGGGGGCCCATTTTTGTGAGTTTGGAACTAGCCTGGTCAGTCAGGGAGATGTGTGGCTCTGGCTCACAAAATAAATCTTAAAACACACGCAACAGGAACAGGAAATGACCGAGAGGCAGATGCTGGGGTTCAAACTACAAGATCAGAAAAGCAAAGCAATCGGCCACTAGCTCTCACCTCTAGCTCAGGCTGAAAGGGATGATCCGTGAATAAGCTCTTCACCACGTCTCAAACTGCTGCCTCCCCTCAGAGTGGCTGGAGAATGAATGCCTCTCTGAGACCTTACTCCTGTCCTATATACTTCCCTAATGGGACTAAAGGTGTGAGCTATAGTTCTCTTTTAGACTGATTCACTCTTGTGTAGATCTGGGTGGCCTTGGACTCACAGAGATCTGTCCACCTCTTAATTCTGAGTCCTAGGATTAAAGTTGTGAACCACCATCTCCTAGCTTCTGACTGCTGGAATTAAAGGTGTGTGCCTGGCGTCTATGGCTTGTGGCTTACTTTGCTTTCTGAATCCTCAGGCAAGCATTAATAAATCATTAATCTTATGTCACCACAGACACAAATTCCAAAAGGATCAAACAACGAAGGGGAAATTTTGGTTCATGTAACAGAAAATGCCAGATGCAGTGGTGCACACCTGTAAACCTGTGCGTGGGAGGCTGAGGCTGGAGGATCATGTCCCTCAGACCATCTGGTGGTCCCAGGCCGTGAGGAGACCCCACCTCACAAACAAAAGCCATCACATGCAACAACCTCGGGTTCAGACATGGCTTGCTCAAGAACTCAGTGTGGACGTTGGAACCCTGTGGCATTTCCCAGGTGGCGTGGAAGGAGGGCTTCTGGCTGAGTGTGAAATCCTGTACATGCCCATAGTCAAGATGTCCACACAGCTGACTGTGTTGTCTCTGTGGGTGATCCTGTCATTGTTTATGAATCTATGTGGATGTCTGTGTGAGGCAATTCACAGTGTCTTTGGTGCTCTGGGTGGGTGTCCCTGCTTCCCACCACTGGGATTACAGACATGCAATCCCGGTCTTTTTATGAGTGTGGGATTCAAACTCACACCATCATGTTCTCAGAGCAGCTGCATTGTTGTTTGAGCCGTCTGAGTCTAACCTGCGGTCTGGTCCAGTCAGCTCCAGTGTGCTGCGTTCATGTCAGCTTGACACAAGCTAAAGTCATCTGAGGAGGGAGCCTCAACTAGGAAAGCCTCCATAAGGTCAGCTGTAGGCAAGTCTGTGGGACACTTTCTTAATCAGTGACTGATGGGGGAGGGCCCAGCACATGGCGGGTGGTTCCATCTCTGGGCTGGCAGGTCTGGGTTCTATAAGAAAGCAGGCTGAACAAGCCACTTCCCCGTGGCTGCTGCATCAGCTCAGCTCTGGCCTCCAGGTTCCTGGTCTGGTTTGGTCCAGACCAGTTTGGCTGTGTTGTCTTTTTCAGACATGGTCTCACTATGTAGTTCTGGCTATCCTGGAGATTCCAATAACACCAGGCTGCCCTCTAACCCTGAAATCCTCCACCTGCGCCTCCCAAGTTCTGGGACTAAACAAAGTTTAGGATTTCACTCCCAGCCTCTCAAGCCTATTTATTTCTTAAAGCCTCCCTAACCCCTCCTGGCTCAAGGTCTGGGCTGTGGAGCTCTGAGACTCTTTCCAGAATCTGCTGGGCTGCACAACACGGCTCCCGTCTTGCTCACGTGCCGGCCATGCTCACTGACTCTGATGCATGGTGTGTGGACCTGAGTGGCCTAGACCAGTTAGCCAACCCCCTGCCTCCTGCCCCGACATATCCCAGGAGCTAAGCTGGAGGAGGGCAGAGGCTAGAAGGGAAGGTCAGAGGGTCACAAAAGGTCCCAAGGTTGGCACAACCTTCCTCCCTCTTGCTCCAGGACACGGTGTCATTAGTGGACTGTGGTGCTTGAGTGGAAGGGGAGGGCTGAGCTTAGGAACCCATTTGTAAAACTTTGTTTTCACAATGACTTGTTAGTGGTTCTCAATCTTCCTAATACTGTAACCCTTATGGTGGCCCCCATCATAAAATAATTTTCATTGCTACTTCATATCTATAATTTTGCTGTTATGAATTTAATATAAATACCTGTTTTATTTTGTTTTTTGGTTTTTTGAGACAGGGTTTCCCTGTGGCTTTGGAGGCTGTCCTGGAACTCGCTCTGTAGACCAGGCTGGTCTCGAACTCACAGAGATCCGCCTGCCTCTGCCTCCGAGTGCTAGGATTAAAGGCGTGTGCCACCAACGCCCGGCTAAATACCTGTTTTTAATTAATCTTAGGTGACCTCTGTGAAAGGGCTGTTTGACCCCCAAAGGGGTCATCACAGGTTGAAAACTACTGACTTATGTATTGGGGGGGCGTGGTGGTGCTGCAGTGGGGGACAGCTTGTGGGGTCAGTTTCCTATTTCACCACGTGAGTGGTGAGCACCCTTACTCACTGCCTAAGCCATCGTGCCTGCCCTAGGGGAACCCCCCTTTAAAAACTAAAAGTTGTAAAAACAACAAAAAAAATTGCATTGGGTGGTAATGGCGAGTGCCTTTAGTCCCAGCACTCAGGAGGCAAACGGTGAGTTTGAGGCCAGTCTGATCTACAGTGTGAGTTCCAGGGCTACCAGGGAAACCCTGCCTGCCTCAAAAAAACCAACAAAATAACAAAACTAAAAGTTGTGTGTGTAATATAGGTGCACTTGCCTGTCCCCTTGAAAAAGCCACGAGGACATTAGGCATCCCCTTTGAGGCTGGGCAGACTGCCAGGTAGCCTCTACCAGAGCTGGGTGAGTGGGTGCTCAGGACACATGCTTGCTGCAGGACGCTGGCAGCTGATCTAGTCACAGCACCCACAGCCATCACTGACAGTACCCACAGCCATCCCTGTGATCTGAGCCCAGAACACTGGTGACGGAGGGTGCAGACCCTGCCTTCCCAACTTCCACTCTCTCCCCCTTAATTGTTTTACACATTTTGTGTCTGTGTACTTGTAAGATGGTGCCAGCCCAGCCAAGGAAGCCAGAGAATGGGGGCGTGTCCTGTGCCGGCCTTCCCCACTCTCCGCCGCCCAGCAAGCCTGTCTCAGTCTTGCTGGCACCCAGACCACATCGGGTCTTTTTATATGCGTGCTGAATATTCTAACTCAGATCATAATGCTTGCACAGTAGGCTGAACCTTTTCCATCCCGTCCCCCATTTACACATGTGTTCGTTCATCTTTTGAGTGCCTTGGGAATCTGTGTGTGCCCTCAATGGACAACTTGCAGGAGGTTGGTTCTTTCCTTCCACCAATGGAACTCATGTTGAAAAGATTGGCAGCAAACGTCTTTACCTCCTGAGCCATTTGGGGGAGGCTCCTGTTTACTTTTTTAAAGCATTGTTTTTCTTGCCCCAGGCTAGTCTAGAACTCCTGGTCACCCCAGGCAACTCCCACCAGCCATGCTGATGCGGCTGTGAATTCATTTCAGACCGGAGCAGCTCAGGCCTTCTGGATTGCCCTTGCTGATGTCTCCTGGAGCTCTTTCTCGGGACACATCCCACCCTCCCCCAGACCTTGCTCCTCTCGAGAATCCATCCGTTTCTACAACGTGCACCCCAGAACCAGAATACATAAAGGAGGCCTTTGGAGAGACTGGGTGTGGATACCTCGGGTTTGGGAGGCTCAGGGTGGGGAGGTTTCCGAGCACACTCCGGGAGCCATGGGCTTTATTGATGCAGCAGCCCCAGGAAGGAACAGTGCCTCACGGGTGACGGGCGTTGCATGCCCTCGCCCTTCGGGCTGTGCAGGGAACCCGAGATCTCTGAGGAGGCTGGAGGAGCCCTCTGCGCTCTACCGCGGCCAGCTGTCGGGGGTCAAGCGGCGCAGGGAGGCCGCGGGCCGCAGCGGCTCCGCAAGGGGCCTGGCGAGGAGCAGAGGGTAGGGAAAGGACCTGGGGAAGTCGCCAGAGGCCCCGGTGGCCGGGGACAGCCGCTCGGACTTGATGCTGATCGGGGGCGTCGGAGGGGAGGCCACCCGGCTGGGGGGGCCCTCCTCACACAGGCTGCGGGCGCTGCTGCAGAGGAGGGAGGCAGGAAGGAGAGAGCTAGGCCGGGGATTCTGGGGTCTCCTCTATCGCACAGCCGCCCACCGCCCGGCCAGACAGGAGTCCCGACCGCCGGGGGCGCCCAACTCACCCGGGCCGGCTCGGGTCCACCGCGTCCCTCGTCAGGGGCCAGGGCGAGGGCTGCAGGGGGAGCGGAGCGGCGTCTCCGGGGGTGCAATCTGCCAGGAGAGGCTGGCTGAGGGGGGCTCCCGACAGGACCCCGGCCCTCCCCACGCCCGCACTCGGGGCTGGGGCGAGGGACCCAGCGGGCGGGCAGGCGGGACGGGGCGGGCGCGGGCGCACCTGTGGGGCCTGCGGGCAGGAAGGCGAAGCTCCCCGGGGCGGGACCCGGGGCGCCGGGGCTCTGCAGGCCGCTGTACAGGCTCCTCTGGGGGACCGCAAGGACAGAAGGGGGTGTGAGCGCCTCCTCCCTCCCTCCCTCTCCTCCTCCCGGCCCTTCCTTCTCCACCCCGCTCTCACCGAGGCGCCCAGGCCCCCGCGGGCCCCAGCCAGGCCGGCGGGTAGCTCTGGCCTCCGCCCGTCAGCCGCCAGGTACAGGGGTGGGGGAGTCTTGCCGGCGAGGTGGCTCGCAGAGAAGATGGGGTGTCCCGGGCCTGGGGGCAGAGGGACGGCGGTCACCGGCGAGGCCGGAGCCGGGACCCTCGCGGCCCCCCACCCCGCACCGCGCTGCTCGCAGAGCTCACCCGGGGGTCGGAAGTGGGGCGGGCGGCTGTGGACAGGCGGGGCCTCCCCCGGCCCGCTGGGGTCGAGCGGGACTCGGTACGACAGCTCCGGGACCGACGTCGCAGGGGCCACGGGCTGCGGACACAGGTGTGGGGGCGTGGGCGGAGGGTGGCTCGCCGCCCAGGCCGAGACCGGGGCCGCCCGGGGAAGCGCGGCGGGGCATCTGCTGAGCTCCCCGCCGCCCCTCACGCCGCCCTCTGGGTTCAGCCTCAGACTCGAGTTTGGGGGCCCAGGGGCTGGGCAGGGACCGGGAGCTCCCTTACGTAGAGCAGAGGCCGGGGCGCGGCCGGGGCGCCCCCCAGCGTCCTCAGCAGCTTCTCTCCGGGCCCCTCCGGCCCCTCCTCCGCCTCCCCGTCCGGGCCCACGCGCCTCCTCTTCAGCGTCTGTGGGAACAGCGGGCGACAGGCGGGGCTCAGCCGTGTCACCGACTCCCGGAGCCCGGGGCCAGGCCGCCCGCAGGGATCCGCGCCAGGCGCTGCCAGGGGGCCCGGGACTGCAAGCGCGGTGAGTCCCGGCGGCGGCCCGGGCTCCCGGTACCTGCAGAATGTCGGCGTTGGTGCGGCTCTCGTGCGGCTCGCTGTACTCCGTATACTTGAGCAGCACGCGGTCCATGTCGCTGCTCGCGTACTGGAAGAGGCGCTGCGCGCTGTTGAAGATGATGAGCGCGATGTCGCAGTCACACAGCACGCTCAGCTCGTAAGCCTTCTTCATCAGCCCGAACTTGCGCTTGGTGAACGTCACCTGCGCCGCAGGGCCAGACGGGGTGTGGGGCGCGGGGGCGGCAAAGCAGGGAGTCCCTGAGGGACTGCGGGGTGAGCCGCGCTCCCGCCTCTCTGCTTCGTCGCCATCTGAACCTGGGAAACTCCTCTGCGTGTTTGCGGCGCCACCCTTCAGGTGTCCAGTTCTCTCCTGAGAACACTGGCCCCGAAGCAGAACCCACGCTTTCTGTCTCTGACTCCCCAAAGTGGCCTCGCCTGGCTGGGCCCCTGCCCGGAAATGTCACTTCCCCCGGGAACTCACCTGCCTGTTCCTTTGATCTAGAATGCGGGAGATCTGGATTTTTTTCCTCCCCATCGTGCCTGGCTGTCCCGCGTGCCTGTTCTGAGAGAAGGAGGGAGGGAGTGGAAGATGGCCAACAGTACCCAGCTTCTGTCCTGCCCGCTTCAAGCCCCTGAAACACAAACGGGAGAGCCAGATGACAGAAGGCAGGCCGGCCACTTAACCCGGACTGTCTTTACTGGCCACCCGCTGGGCATACTGCATGCGCGACAAATGCACCTCCACGTTCCTGCACCCAGGAAGCCAGGGCAGGAAGAAGATGGTTTCCAGGCCAAGCTCAGCTCCACCTGGCAGACGGAGGACAGTCTGGGATACACCACGTACTCAAATGGAAAGGTCACGAGGAGGTGCTCTGGGCAGTGGACACAGACATGGAGGCTCACCCACGACTGTGTGTTTGCGTGGCGCGGGGCACAGCCTTGAACATGAGTGGAGACACGCCCCCTCTGTCCGCCACACTGGCCCTGCAGATGGAGCTCAGGCACTTGGGTGGGCAGCAGGTGTCTGTCAGCTGAGTTACCTCAGCCACTCTTCTTTAAATTTGTTTTGTTGAGCCTGACATTGGTGGTGCATGCCTTTAATCCCAGCACTCGGCAGGAGGCAGGTGGATCTCGAATTCGAGGCCAGCCTGATCTACAGAGCGAGTTCCAGGATGGGCTCCAAAACAATACATAGAAACCCTGTACTGAAAACAAAAAAATAAAAAATAAATAAAAATTGTTTTGTTGAGATAGGCTCTGTCCATGTAGCCCTGCTGCCCTGGAACTTGCAATGTAGACCAGGCTGGCCCCAAATTCACAGAGATCGCCTACTTCTGCCTCTAGAGTATGGGACTTAAAGGTGTGCGCCACCACATCCGCTCTTTTCTTCCTTTAATTTATTTGATTTTGCATGATTAAATGGCATTTAGTGTGTTTTCCTATACTGTGTAATCATCACCTTAGTTTAATTCCAGAACATTCTGTGGTCAAGGCAGCAGTGCGGTTGCTCCTGCTCCCTTCCCCTTCCCCATGTCCCCTCTATTTCCTGGCTCTGTGGGTGTCCCTATGTTCTGGACATCTTCACACACAGGGTCACACCATCTGGGCCTGGGGGCTGCCCACTTCTCATTCTGGAACCTGGAGAATGTTCTGAGACATGGTTTTGCTAAGTAGTCCAGGCTGTCCCAAAACTTAAAATCCCCATCTCAGCCTACATGGCACCTGTAGAACTGCTTGGCTGTGTTTTTTCTGCATGGACTTCTGGAAAAGTCACCCCGGCAGACCTGGGGACTCCACCAAAGGGTCCACATGGGGACTTGGGAAGTCCCTGGCCTCCATGGTAGAGACCCTGGGTTTCCCTGACTTCCAGGGGTTCTAGATGCATCTGGGCTATGGTGGGAACACATCTCAAATAAAGAAAACAAGATAAGGGGCTGGAGAGATGGATCAGAGGTTAAGAACACTGGCTGCTCTTCCAGAGGTCCTGAGTTCAATTCCCAGCAACCACATGGTGGCTGACAGGCATCTATAATGAGATCTGCTCCCTCTTCTGGCCTGCAGGCATACATGGAGGCAGAGTGTTGTATAATAAATAAATAAAATCTTTTAAAAAAAAGAAAACAAGATAAAATTTCTGAGCTGGGTATGGCCAGCACTTGGGGGTTGAGGCAGGAGGATTGCTGGAGTCTAGGAGCTCTAGACGAGTCTAGGCTTCATTGTAGGATTGTCCCCAAAGCAGGGAGGCTAGGAAGATGTCATGGCTGGTGAAAAGCTTGCTGTGAGTGTGAGGACCCGAGTCCCACCCCCAGCAGCACTGGAGGAGAGGACAGGTCTGCAGCCCCAGCAGCACTGGAGGAGAGGACAGGTCTGCAGCCCCAGCAGCACTGGAGGAGAGGACAGGTCTGCAGCCCTCGCACTGGGAGGCAGAGGAAGGCAGGTGGCGGCTCCAGGTCGAAGGAGCAAGCTCGGGTTAGTGCACACAATGTCGCACAGCTGTAATGTGGGGTCTAGGGAGAAAGCCCCAGGGGTAAGAAAGAGATCTGGCTTCACAAGAGTGAGAACCTGAGTTTGAATCTCAGGACTCCCTTGAATTCTGGGTGCTCAGATATAACCCCAATGCTGAGAATGGCGGCACAGGAGGAGCACTGTGGGCGGGGATTGGTGGCCATGAGCCTAGATCCAGGTTTGTGAGAGGCCTTGTCTGAAGAGAGTAATGTGGCAAGTGACAGAGCGGGACACCCAGTGTCCTCTGCACAAGTACACACACACACACACACACACACACACACAGATAACACACACACTCACACAGATAACACATGCACACACACAGATAAAACACACACACAGATAACACATGCACACACAGATACACACAAACACACCACACACACAGATACACACACACACAGATACACACAAACACACCACACACACAGATACATACACACAGATACACACACACAGATACACACACACAGATACACACACAGATACACACAAGACCACAAAGCAATAGGCCATGACATCAGCCTCCAGATGCACAAAGAAGAGAGCTCGGCCCCCACCGGCTGAGGGCACTACACCCTGCACACAAGTCTGGGCTCCCAGAGATTCAGACCAGGGAGGCTGAAGGGTGGGCCTGGAACACGTGCCTTAGAGACAGAGAAGTAACTGGCCATTCTCAAATGATCTGAGCTGTTTTTGTTTTCTCTTTTCTTTTCTTTTTTTTTTTTTTTAGGAGACAAGGTTTTTGTAGCCCAGGCTGGCCTCAAACTCACTGTAGCCAAAGCAGGCACCGTGTGGGGTCAGGTAGCTCTGCAGCCCTTCCATAACACAGAGTTACCTATTGCCACAGGGAGATGAGACAGACAGGGGGCCTTACCCCCTTGGGGACAGTCCCCTCTGCCAACTCTGGAGCCATACAACCTCTCTCGACTCACAAGTGGCTGAGGCTTCCAGTCAGCGGTCACTCCAGGGTCACGGGCCTGCATCCACCTCCCAGGAGGGTTGGGTTAGCTCGCCCTCGGCGTCCACCTGCTGTCTTGAGAGTTGGGTTGGGTGACATAGCATGCCCAGTGCTCCTAAGAGCATGAGACAGGAGGTCTCAAATCGCTCTTCACACCTGTGATCCTAGCAATAGGGAGGCTGAAGCAGCAGGATTTCTGAGAGTTCTGGGCCAGCCTGGGCTACAGAGTGAGTTGTTGCATCAATGAAACAAAGACCAGTGAGATACTCTGTTTCTGAGCTGGACTCACTCCTGTCAGCATACTAGCGCTCCAGGGGCTGAGGCAAGGGACGTCTTGAGCTTTGGTGCTCCCCGCTGGTCAGACCTACAAGACCTACAATAGAGGGACTCGGTCTTAAAAAAAAATATATGGTAGCACACACCTGTCATCTCAGCACTGAGTAAATGGAGGCAGACGATTAGGAGTTCAAGGCCAGCCTCAGCTGAATAGGGAGTCTGATGCTAGCCTGGGCTACATGAAACCCTGTTTCCCTTCCATAAAAAGAAAAGGGCCGGGCGTTGGTGGCGCACGCCTTTAATCCCAGCGCTCGGGAGGCAGAGGCAGGCGGATCTCTGTGAGTTCGAGGCCAGCCTGGTCTACAAAGCGAGTTCCAGGACAGTCTCCAAAACAATACAGAGAAACCCTGTCTCGAAAAACAAAACAAAACAAAACAAAAAAAAAAAAAAAAAAAAAAAAAAAGAAAAGGAAATCTGGATCCATTGAGCTAGTCATGGCTACTTCCTAGTCCGCAATCCAAGTGGCCTGGCTGTGGCTCCCATTTTTCTAGGAGTCCTGCATACCTAGCAGTGAGGAATACTCTAGCTGGCATAGGTGAGATCCTGTGGGCTAGCCTCTACCCTCTCTGAGCTGGTTGGGTCTGCAAGTCAAGTCCAAGAAGCAGATCAGGAACAGCAGGCCCCACTGCAGCTTCTCTTACTAAATTTAACCCCCTTGCTAGTTTTACCCTTAGCTGGAGTCGGCCTTTCCCAGGGCTGGGATACGTGGTCAGAACCCAGGCAGGTTCCTGGAGGCTGAAGAGGGCCCTGGACCGGAGGTTCTCCCCGCCAACATGATTCCGGAATGCCCCCAACCTGGGGTCTTGTGAGAGCCAGGCCAGGCTTGGACCTGAGTCTTAGAAGATCGAGGGCAGCTCCCTCTGACCTTGGGATGAAGGCAGGGACAACGGTGAAGGGAGGACTGAGGACAGGGTGCCGGTAGCAGGGATGCAGGGGCTCTCTCTGGACAGAGACCTGAGTGCCGGCAAAGGGAAGTGAGCTCGTAGCAGAAAGGACAGTAGGTTCAAACGCCCTGACGTGGGAGGGCAGCTGGAACCCGGGCAGGGCTGGGGGCCTCTGCCGCAAGCACACAGGTGACTTTGGTCCATCACTGAGGGCAGAGAGGGAGTTGTGGAGAAACAGGCTTTTATTTTCATTTCTTGAGAGGCTGTCCTGGATCTCACTCTGTAGACCAGGCTGGCCTCGAACTCACAGAGATCTGCCTGCCTCTGCCTCCTCGGTGCTGGAATCAATGTGTGCTGCCATGCCCAGGTTGGTCTGCAGTTCTGAGGATGCCCTTGAACCTTTGTCTTCCTGCCTCCACGTCCTGAGTGTTTTGTGTGTCTTCATGTGTGTGCTGGGAACTGAACCCAAGTCCTCTGGAAGTGTTCTTACCTGGAAACTCTCTTCAACCCCTAATTTAAAAAATTTTTAATATGTGTTGGTAATTTGGGTTTTTGTGTCAGAGGGTGTCACTGCTAGACATGCTGACCTTGAACTCACAGACAGGTGTCTGCCTGCCCCAGTCTCCCAGAGGTGGGATTAAAGGCATGTGCCACCCCCAGCCTGTGCATGAGCGCATTTGCCTTCATGGCACATATGTGCCGGATTCCCCTGCATGGCTGTTACAGATGATTGTGAGCTGCCACGTGCATGCTGGGAACCAAATCAGAACCTCTTCCAGAGCACCCAGGGGCTCTTAATCTCTGTGCTCTCTCTCCAGTCCTAACTTTAAAAAGTTATTTATTTTGTGGGGACATGTGTGTCACAGAATGTGGGAGCTCAGAGGACAACTTGCAGGAGTCAAGTCTTTCTTTCTACATGTGGGTCCCAAGGGCTGGACTCAGGTCATCAGGATGGTGACAAATATTTGTACCCACTGAATTATCTCCCCAGCTCCAATATTAATTAATTAATTCTTTAATTTTAAGAAATGGTCGCCGGGCGTTGGTGGCGCACACCTTTAATCCCAGCACTCGGGAGTCAGAGGCAGGCAGATCTCTGTGAGTTTGAGGCCAGCCTGGTCTACAGAGCGAGTTCCAGGGCAGCCTCCAAAACCACAGAGAAACCCTGTCTCGAAAAGCCAAACCAAAAAAAAAAAAAAAAAAAAAAAAAAAAAAAGGCCTCATTATGCAGCCCTGGCTGGCCTAGAATTTGCTATATAGATCAGAATAGCCTTGATTTCACAGAGATCCCCCTGCCTCTGCTCCCGAGTGCTGGGGTAAGGGCACAACTGCCACTCCTGGCTGTTTAGTCTTTTTTTTTTTTTTTTTTTGAGACAAGGTCTAGGTTGGCTTGAACTCTTGATCCCCTTGCCTTGGGCTGCAAAGTGCTGGAAGGACACTCAGACTCCCACGGGGAGACGAGGTTGGG